CGGCTCAAGTTTTATTTTTCTTGACAGTGGTTTGGTTCACGCTTCGGTTCAAAACGATACCGAACCGTTTTGCAGCCCTTCACATTACAAGATGCTGCCTTCCCTAAACCTAAACCTATATTTGGAGGCATTGCAAGAAAAAAAAAAACATTGAAGTCCATTAGCTATACCGACCATAATAGTATTTCTCAAACCAACCAAAAGTAGTGCTGGCAACTCTTTCTGAATCTAGAAGTTTTCTCATTGTCATCTCATTTCATAATAACAGCGGTGCTCAAAACCGTGTTCTAGAACATGAAGAGAAAAAAGAGATAATTTAAGAGAAAATTAAAATTCTGTTTTTCTTTATATTTTACGGTTCTATTTAATTGTTTTTAAACACGAATGTTTGCCAAAATAATTTATAAAACAAATGAATAAAAAATATTTGTATAAGTAATGAATTAACACTGTTTTGTTCTTGATTTAAATAAACAAAGAGAAATTTGACTTAAAAGAGATATTTCTTTTTGAGCACCGCTGTAATAACAACAATGAGAGAGAAGAGAGAACATTTTCATTTTCCAAAAGCCCAGCATAGTAAGTGAGAAGAACGAAATAAGAAAAGAAAACAAATTGAAAATCGAGAGCAAATAACATTTCAATGTTCAAAACAGCCGATAAAGAAGAAAACTATGGGGAACAAAATGGTTAAATGCAAACAAACACAGGAAAGAAAGTCTCCAATACAATTGAAATTAAACGAAACGACAAAGCAACGTAAGGATGGACGGACAAATGGGGATGGCGATGGCATGGGGATAAAACATAATCACAAATAATAGATGAGAGCGAAAATGAATGGTTGCGCGATCGATCGGTAGCACGGACCCGATCCGACCGGGCCGGGACCGATCGACCAACCGACCGACACACCGCAACTGTTTGGGAATTTCTGAGCGGAAGAGGGGGAGAGTGCCTATGAATATCGAATTTTTTCAAACATGATCGATTACAAATAACAAACGTTAAGTATGTGCAAGAATTTCAGTTGGTGGCAAATATAATTGGGTCTGGCTAGCAAGTGTTCACATTTAGAAATGGGCGATTGTGTGTGTGCGTGTGTGTTTGGTGTTTATTGCTGAACATTTTCAAAAGATATTGAATTGTATATGCTTTTTTTCGAAGAGAAGAAAAAGTTGCATAAAACTTTTGTTCTGTTAATTACTTGGAAGAAGAATGTCCATTGAGTTCAAGAATGTTGGGCAAGTAGATGCACAGGAATTTGATTGTAATTTCAAAGATATTAGTTGTCAATGCGCAAAGGTGGTAGGGTGTTATTTAGAGTTCAGATTATGTCCCATGTTCAAATAATTTTGAAATCTGATTTGGCATACGTATTTTGATTTTGTGTAAAAGAAAAGGTTGTCCAGACATTGATATTATTTCTGAAAATGGAATATATTTTACTCCAAGTTTAGGTACAGCCCTATACAACGCTACCTTCTGATTTTCGTTATTTTAGACGTCTCTGTCCAACCAAATCGGCTGTAACTTGACATTTCCTGTAATTTGTGATTAGATTTAATCTTCAACTAAATTATTCAACGTAAGTCATATTTTTATATTCTCAGCCTTATGGCAGCTACATAGGGTATATAAGGCCAAAATGTGCCCCATCGAAATAAAGGTTTTAGACCTTAGGTCTCTTTAAACGAAAAACATTTTGGGACATTTTGAGTCGACACTGCCATACCCCAGGAAATCTCTCGAAATGTGGAAATAGAATTGAATTTTAGAAGTGGTTGGTTTCAATCTAATGGGAACCCTAAAATGTTACAGCCAATCCGTTGGCTGTTTCTTCATCCTCATATAGACCGGTTCCCAAGCTCCAGCTTTTACGATGAGAATCCACTTGAAGCAGCTGACATAATGGCTCATCGGTATCGCCTTAACTGTGGTCTAGTAAAAACTATCGGATTTTTAGAGGTAGGTATTTGTAACTTTAATACGGAAAATTATTTTATTTTTGAGGGACGTGACCTGATACCCAAACTATATAACCTTTTAAAAATGCATGGATATGGGCAATTATTTTTCTTGGATCTTTGATCTTGGATCTTTGATCTTGGATCTTTGATCTTGGATCTTTAATCCCCTGTCCAGTTGAATGATGCTTTTAATCCTAAGTCCTTGCCGAAACCCTGCTATTGCACAAAGTATTACATTTAGATAATTTTTTGTTCGGGAAGCCGGTATAGGACATTTGCACCGAACAAAATTGCACGTCCTGACGGATGGCTGTCTATTTAATAATAGTATCACATTTAGAAAAACATTTTTCGAAGTCCGTCATCTAAAAAAAGTATTAAATTTGAAAAACATTGGTTTGCGTAGCGCATATTGGCCATATTCATAGAAGTCTCAAGCCCAGACCAAAGACCAGCTACTTAAAAAAGTATCAAATTTAGAAAAAAAATTGGATAGGGCAGCGCGTAATAGAAACCCTGATTTTGAGTCCCTTCTCAACTTTGTGGGGGTTTATAAAAAATCCGGGTCCAAACCGTGAGCACTTCTTAGATAGATATTTTCATTAGCTATAAAATGATTCATTGGTCTTGGATTCGGACTTTCGGGTTAAATATAAGATATCGGGGCACAAATATCTACCACTAAAAAATAAAAAAAACAATTGATTGTAACCAAACTAGAATTGTTCCGTCAATAGGTAGATCGTTCGACTGGGAACCACCCCGAGGTTAATTCAGCAAGCCATTTAATTTCCCATTAAATTGCTATATCCTGGAACCAACAAAACTAAATGAATTTACAAACGTATTTTTAAGAGGGCTTTCTTGAAATCAGAAATGGATCTCGATATGATGGCACTTGACTTAATCGCACTTGATCATTGTCATATTAGGTCTCTGATTGCAAGAACTTCCGCTTGAACAGGCCAGAACCTTCATCCATTTTGGAACTGTCTGTGTAGATAGACAGAAAATTCACCACTCAACCAATCATATAAGGCTTCTGCGATATACATCTAATGTAGAATGAGAACAAAATTCAGTAGCGAATACTTTACAAGAAGATAATTTCCTTCCTTGGTATCCTCAGCAAAGGCATCGTGGGCAATATTGAACCACAACAAAATTGGTACCAGGCACGTGTCATTTGTGGACGCTATGCCACACTTTTTGAGGGCGACAATTACATGTTTGGAGAGCAGTCACCCATGAAAGATTAGAAAATGAATTCGGAGTCCTGAAACTTTTTAACTGCAACCTTGATTGCAAGACTATGGTGTCAATGTTAAACTCCTATCTCTAGAAAAATCCACTTCACATCAATGGCCATACAGCTAACAACACTGTGGTGATGAATGTGAAACTCGATGTTCAGATCTATGAGCAAATTATTACCGAATTTCGGTAATCGGCCTTTGGGTTTTTATGGATTTTGATAAAAGCCTTATTTACACCGAACATGATTTTATAAAAAGTGTTTCAATTGTCAATTCCTTGGATTATACATCAAAACTAATGACCGATTTCGCAAAAACGTGTAATTCGGGGGCTTATTTTCTGTTGAAATAAGGTTTGCCATGGGTGGCAACGCCTACCACTAGAATAAATTTGTAAAAATCAGATATAAGTTAGTTTGTTTCAGTAAATATTGTTGCCTATATATTTTTTTCTTTTAATAACTCATAACTAATACTTGGTTTTTAAAAGCTGTATTCAGTTCTTCGAACCCCTCTTTAGTAATAATTTTAGTAATAGGGACACACATAATGTATATATTTAACCAACTTTTTTCAATTTTAAGTCATTTAGAAATAACTCCACAACCAGCAAACCTTATTTTACTACATTGTTACACTTTGTTTCCATCTCTGATCGCAGTGACTATGAATGACAATGGCAACCCTATCGAATTTGACAGATCTCCACACAAAACTGACATTACATTTGTTAACATTATTCTTTACCAAATTTCACTGGAATATTGTGCAAATTATAACTTTTGATATGAAAACACGATTAAATATTATTAATCAGTAATAATTTAATGGTTCCATTTAATTTTATGAAAAGAAACACTACACAAAAGAATGCAAATTGCATCACATTAAATCGCACTCTCTCTTGAATTATTTTATTCGCTCTCTTTCTTCTCACCGCGAACAACGGCATTTGACATGAATTAAATTAGCCGCTGGCTGGCTGCATGCAACTCTCAAAGTATTCCACCAAAAATATGACAGATATATTTTCACTAATTTTATGCACTTTTTAGAAACAAATTCAACAATATAATTTAACTTAATTTAATTTGCACTCTTTGTTAAGTGCTCAACAACAAAATGTTTATTTGCACTTTTTTTGGCCAGCACAATTCAAAAAGGCCAACTACACCAATCAACAAAATCTTTTGCAGCAAAACTTTAATAGATTTACAAAAGGCAGAAAGAAAAACAACAAAAATAGCACAAAACACAACCCAATAACGACGACGAAGACGTCGTCGTCACCGTCTTCGTTGTCTATACAACACAACACCGATTTTATTCTTATTTATGTTGGCCTATATAGTTCCGTTGTATTTTCTATAAGGGGGGTTTTGCTGCCGTTTTTCCCGAATTGTTTGACCGACTACCGCCGATGGGAGGGAGAAAGGGAGGTGGAGCCGCAACACCATACGCAGTCTACTAGTACATTACAGGAAAGAAAAAACTTCTACTCTTTGTGTAATAGTATTTGCTGGTTGGTGCTCTTCTTTGCTTCTTCGTATGTATTTCACTACAGAATCTGATGGCTGACTGCCTGACAGCTTGATTTTCTATGGAGGTTTGGGTTTTTTCTTTTTTGCATTCTGTGTTGTGTAAAAATTGATTGCCATTAATTTTTCTTTCACTTGAAATTCTTTCGGATTGCATTTGTTTCGAAAATTGTTACATTTTCCATGGCATACTTTCCACATAGGTACCTACTAAATAGCAATTTTTCTATTCTTACTTTTGCGTAATTCTTCACATTCACTTGAAAATTTTCTTTTAATTTGTTGTGGGGAAATGTTATCTTGGCTTTTTTGGGATGAATTCTCAGACAATTATTTCGTCGTTTTCTTTTTATGCACTCAACAACTCACTCGCTACACACAAACACAGATACACTTTTTTGTGGCAGACAGTAGAAAACTAAAATCTTGTTGTATTTTCTATTTATACACATGGAATTTTCTTTTGTTGCTGTTTCGTTTATTTGATCACCGAAATTCCGCAAAATAGTAAAATTACGAATATTAAACGCGTTACCGAATAAATATCACTTATTTTTCTATGAAAAATAAAGCACAAAAATATGTTGACTGTTGCTCGGATTTAAAGAACGAAGTCGTTTGAGGGACTGTAATTGACGCCGTAAACGACACGGTTGCTTTTCTTTGCAATAGGAATGTATAGATCGATTTTCGATAAATGGTCTTTTTTGTGCGAGAACTGCGGAGATAAATCGATTTTTTTCTTGGTAGTTAAATATTATTTTTGAGAAAATGCATATGTGCAAGAATGCAAAAAATTTTACTAACATACATATTTTTCCTTTTTGATGTCGAAAAAAATGTGAAAACTAGTACATTCTTCCTGATTCTGGAACAGAATAAATAAACTTGTCGTAAAAAGGCATTCATTTGACAAAAACACACGGAAATGGTTAATAAAATTGTTAGAACATATGTAATTCCGTATAATTCCGTCTGATAGAAACTTCCCAGTTACAAATGTCTTCATAATTGTTAAATATGAAGGTCGATTTTTTCAGTTATAATATTTGCGTTTTGTTTCAATGTAAAATTCTTCAGTTGGTCAATAAATTAACCATGATTTATCTTACAGTACGTTTATATATATGAGGGTTAACCCACTGGATTTGGATTTAAATTGTCATATCCATTACTTTTACTTCAAATAAATCCTCTCAAAGTAGATTAACCGTACAAAAAGTTCTAACGTAAACATGGCATAACAATCGAAATACTGGCAAATCATTGCATTTTATTATTAAAATACGTGCTCTGTTAAAAAGTTTATGGCGCGCTACCTCTAATTTTTGCTCAGCGTCTATTAGGGCTGTTGTGACTAAAATTCACACTAAATTCTCATTGTTGGATATTACACCGCCAATACGCTTACGTATGGTACGAACTGAAGAAAATATCGCATATGTATCGGCCTGTTTTAATGATGGCCATCAACTATCGATTCATTGCCATTAGCAGCAATTGGGTCTCTATTATTTAACAACGTTGAATACTGTCTGAGTGTTCCAAAAATACAGTTGGTTCAAGAATTTAAACCGAAGGAGCTACGGCATCGCTGAATTTTTGATGAATGGGTTCTTGGAAAGTTGCCCGAGGATCCACTTTTTATTTAAAAAATGTGGTCAGAGACGAAGCTCGTTTTTGGCTCAATGAGTACGTAAATAATAAGAATTGTGGATTTTGGAGTGAAGATCAGCCAGAAGCATTGCAAAAGTTACCAATGCATCCAGAAAAATTCACAGTTTACTGCGGTTTATGCTGTGAGTTGTAACGTAACTGGGAATTGCGGACGCGCATTGAAGATATTCGCCAGTTTTGCCATGGATTTGAAAATCAAACTGTTTAGATCTAATTTTTTGAAAGAAAACCAAGACATTCAATTCATTTTTCACGCTATTAAACTCATTTTAAAAATCGAATAAATGAAAAAAAAAATATTGCATGCAAATTTGACAGGAAGTGGACATGGCCTCAGTGGTGTATTTCTGTAGTTTTGTGAAGCTATTCTACCTCCTTATTGTACCAAGGGCCGTACTATTAATTCAAATACATTTTTCATGCATTTTTACGAATTTCATGTGTTTTTATTTTATGTCATTTTCTTAACTTTCTCTTTGCACTTAAAAAAGGTGTAATTAAATATAATTCAACAATAATCCATTTTTTGTATTTTATGTAAATACTTTGTCATATAACGACATATAAACAGCTTACCTTTTTAACTATACCACTCATATATATCACCGATTATTCTTCTGATAGTTTACACATATCTATCGAAAATCTCTAAATAATGTCGTTCTTAAACGTTTTTTTTTTTTTAATGTTAACATGCCTCTGTCGCATGTACATGTAACATAATATGTCAAATTCAGTTGTGTATGAAATTTTGACATTACAAGCCAATATTTACATTTCTTTCAAAGTTAGTCTACCTTGTCTTCATTGTACGGCGGTATGGGTAAACTTTACAAAACCAAATCAGTTGTTTTGCTAATTTGACAACTTGTTGCATTAATTGATAGTAATTTTAACATTACAATCCATACAGGCAGGCCTTTATACTTGCGACATTTTCCAACTTAGTCTAAAGGGCTAAGTACATAAGAAGCTTGAAGTCATGGCACGGCCTAGTTTGTGACATTTCACAAAGGAATTACGGAGCCGCACTAAAATCCTGCCGTCGTTTTTCATTATAATTTGGCATTAATATGCCTAGCCATGACTTCAAGCTTTTTATGTATTTGCAGCCTTACTTGTATTCATTGTACCATGCATGAATTTTCAATTTTTAAAAAGTATTTTCTCTAGTTTTTACAGTTTCAAGTATTTGAGTCTTTTATCCAACAGTAGGCAACAAAAACATGACTTGCATTGCATAAATTGCCACACGCGGCAGCTTAAGGTGTAATATTGTTTCCTTTACCGATAGATGTCACCGCTATAGTTTGTAGTGTTAGGTTTTTACACCGTTATCGTTACATGGCATTCATGCAAGGATGATATCTAGAAGGAGCTTTTTTAAGAGCACTTTTAAAGCGCCATGACAAGGGGACGCTTTTACAGAAGATAACATCTAAGTGCATTTTGCTGTAGAACATGTTGTTTTTTCAATGTTATCATGTTTTGTTTGTTTTGTTTTCACCTGCATGTGTGTATGTAAGTGTACCTTTGACAACTGCCTCGTATGAATGTCTTGCCAGAGGCGTTGTTCAAGTTTTATCTATTTTAAATAGTATTTATCATCATCATTATTTGAAAGAAATTAAATGTATGTGGTTATATGACAATATGAAAGAACAAATTCAAAGAAGGAAAAAATTATATGTCCAATGAAAAATTATTAAAAATAAATAGATTTCATTTCAATTGTTGGCATTTATTTCGGATATTGTAGTAAATTTGTCATTTTCCCTTTATGATATCAAAAAAATTGCCAAAATAGTAGATTCCTGCTGGTTCTGGAACAGAGCAATAGTATGTTGTCGACTTAATTGAAATAAGGGGTCTGCAGTGAGATTCTGTTATGCTCTGATCCAGTACCTGCAAAAATTTACTTGTTTTGCAAATTTCTTCGAATCATAAAGGGAAAATCGGTTATTGTAGTAAAAACTTTTACATTTTTGCAGTTCAGGAACACACCATTATTAATTTTATATCCTCCACCATATCATGGAAGGTAATTTAAGTTTGTCATTCCGTGTGTAACACCTCGAAATATACATTTTAGACCTCACAATATATACTTATATATCAGCATAAAATTCTATGTGATGTGCGTTCGTCTGTCCGTCTGTGGAAATCACTCTAGCTTCCGAACGAAATGAAGTAGGTTGATAAAATTTTACTCAAATGTATATTATGTCTGCAGGATTTTTGGTATTGGGCCAAGTAGGTCCACGTTTTGGTATAGCCCCCATATAATGGTACCTGCCTATTTTCGGTATTTTGGCGATTTAAGCGAAATTATTCACCGAGAAATGCTTAAATTTTGGTATTTGAAGTTCGTAATGGATACCTTAGCCTATGACAGAAAATTGTCTGTGCAGGTCCAAGTCTTCGTATAGCCCTGACAATTTTCCGTCATAGGCTGTAGTATCCATGACGAACTTCAAATACCCAATTTGAAACAATTCCTCTCAATAATGTCACTAAAATCATCAAAATACCGAATATCGGGAGTTACCGTTATATGGGGGCTTTACGAAGACGTGGACCTGCACAGAACATTTTCTGTCATAGACTGTAGTATTCATTACGAACATCAAATACCAAATTTGAAACATTTCCGGTGAATTATGTAGCTAAAATCATCGAAATACCGAATGTAGGGAGGTACCGGTATATGGCGGCTATACGAAGCTCTACTTCAAATAATATGGGCTGTATCGTGATTTCAACAGACAGAAAGACGGACACCGACTTAGAATTTTATGCGGATCATGAATATATATACTTTATGGGGTTTACGACGAATATTTATGGGTATTACAAACGGAATGACCAAGTTAATATGCCCTTCATTTTAAGGTGGAGGGTATAAAAAGGGGTCTTTAGGGGTCATGTATGCAGATCGTAATGATTCCCTTTTTTCGATGCATGTCAAGCAACTACCACCCTGTATGCAACACTTAAGAGTTCTCTATGCTTGGCTGCCCATCCAATAATGGGTAAAAAAAAACAATTGTTGTAATTGTATTCTCTCGTTCCGGCCTTTTATATTCTCACTCTCTTTCCCCAACATCATTCACCTCTCAGCAAACAACCCACCCCATAATTTGTGAAAAAGAGACTCCACACCGCACACAACATGAATGTATGAATGGCATACGCTCTAGATAATAATTACGTATTAGCAACAACATCAACGACAACACCACACACACAAACTTTTCATAGCCATCGACGAAAGCATTGGATTCATTCAACAAACATTGAACGAAAAACAAAACAAAACATTTTGCCAAAGCTAAAACATGCTGATGATGACAAAAGCATCAGTGTGAATTCTATTTCTACCCACCATTCGGAAGAGCCGCTGAGACGGGGTGGCGGCATGCGAGACTAGATAACGAATGCTAAAACTTGCAACAGCCTCCGTAGATTGCAATGCGAAAAACTCAAACCAAATTGTTGGTAACAGCGCTGGGTAGCGGTAATGTCGAACTAATAAACTGTCAAAGCGTAGCTACAACGAAAAACAATTTTTTTCTGTGAAAAGATAAACGAAATGTTAGTGACAAATTAAAAAAGGAAAGAAACAAACAAAATAAAAAGCGATAATAAAGAAAAAAAAAATAATGATAAAGGGGTTGAAAAAATTGTGCAAAAGTGCGTAATAAAAATTGAATTCAAATCCATGCCTAAATACTCCAAATAGTGTGTGTGATGTGTTAAAAAAAGAATATTGAATAAATTCTTTCGTTTTCTTTGGGATATAAAATTCAGCTGTTCACCATGATTACGGTAAGTGAGACAGACAATCGGTATTTTCATAATCTTTTAGAATTTCGTAAATGCACACATATTTAAATGCCTACATAGTAGATATGTATGTGTGTGGTGTTTGTTTCCACTGATGCAC